CTATTCTGAATAAATGAGCTAGTAAACACAAAAAAAGCTTTTCAACATACTACTTATTTTCATCACCCTCTCATTGGTGTAAAATTATCGAACATTAAAGTAGTCAGTCCAAATGTCTAAATTCAAGAATATTCGAAATACTAATATGCAACAGTGACAAAGTAAGCCTCTTCTCTTATAAAAATCTTGTAATCCAGTGCTTACTTTTGCTCAAATATCAAGTCACAGCAAATAAAACATGAAATAAATGCTAGTTAACAGCACTTAAAAAGGATATGAAGGAAGAGACATACTGACATATTGTAAGCTACTGAATATTTAACTAAATACCGATTCAGGTTTTTTTATTCAGAAGGATTTAATAAAATTATTGCAAATATTTAACCAACTAAAACCTACTCTTGGAACTTGATTATCTAATAATCGATAATGATAATGATAAAAATGATAATAATAATTACCATATATTGTTCAAATAATAAAAATTTTTTTAATAAGGATTTTTTTTATTTTAGCAATATATTGCAATTATTTTTTTTATCTTTGTCATTATCGATTATTAGTTAGTCGAGTTTCAAAAGTCAATTTTAGTTCACTAAATGTTTGCAATCAATAAATAAAGATCTTAATTATTTGAACATTTAATAAAAGTGTACTTAATAATAGTTATTAAAATAATTATTCATACTTTTATAAGCAATATAAGTCAAATAACTCTTTAACATATAAAATTATAGAAAAATCTTCATTTACAGAAAAAGTGCAAGCGAAATCTTTTTATGCCAAACTGCATTAGAATTGCTTTAAGTTGAATTTGCATTAAATATATATAAAATAAATCTTTTCATTCCTCTTAATATTTTATACTCTTAATATTTTTTTTGGATCATAACAAACCAATTAAAAGATATTTTTTGTTTGAAGTATAAACAATGTTTTCTCCTAATCAGGATCAGAGGGGTTGCATAATAATTGGAGATGAGATTTGGTTCTATTAGGAGAATTAGAGAAAATTAGGAAGATACCGAGCCAAAGATGAGCCACGACCAAAAACTAATTTCAAATTAATGGTTTTCTTCAATTATCGTGGTGTAGTTCAGTATGAACTCATCTCGGCATGTCTTATTGTAAACAAAGTTATACAATTTTTACTACAATCTATTCGCGAAAAGGTGACAGAATTATGAGAAAATGAGTTTAGAATTCGATAATGCACCATCTTACACTGCTTTGGTACCTCGAGACCATTTAGTCAAAAATATAACTCATATCGTGTTGCAACTATAATATTTGCCTGATTTAGCGCTGTGTAATTTTAAGCTATTCCCTAAGTTCATGCAAGGGTTTGGGGAATAACGTATTTACATGATTAGGGAAATAAAAACGGAATCCTTGCACAGTTTAAAACTTTTCTGAAAGTCGACTTAAGCACTTTTTTTCAGGGTTAAAAAAGTATTTCGCATATATATATATAAATTTCGAAGAATAAATTAAGATTTGAAAAGTAGTAAACATTTACAAGTTATTTTTTGAGTACAGTGCAATTTATATACATATGCAAAAAATGTAAAACTGTATTTGTTAATTTTCTTCTTGCCGAGAGTAGCGCGTCTTCACGACGAAAAGAAACTATTTTAGAGTTAGACGGATTCGAATAACAAACAAAAAACTTGCAGTCCAAATAAATTATATACGGTCTGAAAACTATCTAAAAAGAAATTCGAATATTTCCTAAGACCACTGATGATGAGTACTTGACAATACTCGAAACAGCGTTCTATGGTCTGTCAAATTTCAATAAATTAACTAAATTTTTGTCTTTGTCTTTTCTTTGCTATTCGAATTCGTCGAAAAACTTTATTGTTTGGTTCTTCAATGATCTTAATTTCTTTCACAAGCAACAATTTGATAATGTCAGGACAACGACTTAATCTCTCAATGATTTTCCGTAAAGTAAACAATTATTTTTTTTTTAAATTTTTCATATACATTAAAATTTTATATGTACGCGTTAATAGGTGCATTAGTTATCAAATAAGTTGTTTAAAATAATAAATTAATTTATAACAAATTCTATTTATTTAGTTTCATTAAAATAAATAAAATAAATTTCTTTGTAATTAATTTTAATTACTTTCCACAATTTTATGCAAATATATAAACAAATTGTTAAATATAAATAATATTTTATAAAAACGTTTTTAAAAACATATTCATAATTATGCACATATATATCACTGCATAATAGTCAAGTAGACCGACTGTAGGGTTGAATTCTTTTAATTTTTTGCTAATGTTTTTTACTAAATGGCGTTCATTAGTGCAAAATTAATTGACGTTAAAAAAGCTTTTTGCGGTTGTTTATATATATTTTTTGTTTATTTTATCTTCAAATTCACACTTCAGCATATAAAAGAATTCAATATAAACGTATGTAGATATTTCACGTGTTCAATATGTTTATTATATAAGCTCATTCTTGCCGGACAATATTATTTATATTTTAAGATTAATTATAATATAATTAAAATTGATTTATATACTATATTATTTATTATTTAATAATACAAAACAATTTTATTAAAATTAAATAACATATCTGAGAAAAACAGAACCATACCCGCACAATTATTTAGAAAGACTGTGCCGATTTCTCCAACACACCAAAATTGCAAGCTAAGACACTTCAGTTCTCTTAAATTGTCTTTCACTCTCTCTCTCTCTCTATTTGTCTCTCTTTTCTTGTTTTCTTCTCTGCACACTATAAATCATTTCATTGCGGTTTATTATCGAATATATTTTATAGTGCTTTCCATAATGAGAACTAAATGGGCGTCACTGTCACTAAGCGATTGTCATATTGATTAGAAGCTCATTTTAGTGTTCAGTTTCTATATAAAATCTTTATCTATCAATATGTTCCAATTTGCATAGATAATTTTGCTAAAGTATCTTCATAATTATTCAGATTGTTTTTATATAACATATAATATTTTTATTTTTGAATATTGTGTTAAAATCATGAAACGTTTTACAATTTTTACAGATTTTTTTTATTTGTTGAATAAAATTCAAAACGCTTAGAAGTATTTGATATAAATGCTGAGAATTTGACATAAAACTGCAAGATAAGCGACTGGTCGTACTTATATCTAGCTACAGTCAATTAAGTTTTCTGTTATTGCATTATATATATAATATAATATAATATATATAATATATATAATAATATAATATATATAATATATATAATAATAATATAATATATATATTACTATATATGTATATAATATATATAATTAACTAAACTTATTGATGAGGGAAGTAAACGTTAGTTTTCCATATATACCACTGAACTGTTAGCATTTATTATCTTGCGATCTTTGTAATGCGCTAACAGCGTTATTTTTTGTATGTGACTTAGTCCCGAACAGCATGCATAAATGGATTAATTTTTAAAAGACTTTGTTTTGCATGAACCGATTTTATATATGAATATAGACTTTATCCCAATAATGGGAATCATTTAAACAACTCTTTCTCTAATATATCTAATATAGCTTTTCTTATAGAACAATTTATCTTTACCTCCAAAGTCAGTTGTGGCATATTTATAATATACCATCAGTGGTGGCATATATTTCAATTTAGGAAAGTCATTAAGGGTGCTGTTCAATTGTTGCTTGCATAAAATCTTACGTATATTTTGGTCGAACAGAATAAAAAACCAAGAAATGTAGTCCAGAACAAAGCTCAGAGAAATAAATGTAGCAAACAGTAATCTAATACTTAGGTGACTTAAACAAACACTACTAAAACTACTAAAAGAAACATGTCAGCACACCTTAAAAGTAAACCCTAATTGCAGCAGACGAGGGAGCCTTTCAAAATTAAAGAAAATCAACTATAAATAAAATAAATACCATTTTAAAGCCTCAGAGTAGAAGAATAATAATTAACACTAATGATCTGAAGAGAATATAGTTACGACGAGTAAGTTGCAAATGACTTATCGACTGTTTAAGCCCAGTAATAGTGGGGTCTAAAAATTAATGACGTCGTCCAGGGCTTATTATTACTATATCTTGTTATTATTGTTATTTGGCCACTGACTTATGTCGATTTTTAACACTCATCTTAGTTTTCGTGACATATCAAGTATCCTTACTTTTATAGCATCGTACATATTAACTGCAAAGGTTTTTTTCAACAAGTATACAGATCTTAGATCAGTCATTGAATAATCGCGAAGCTTATGAGGAATACACAAATTAATCAGTGAAATGGGTGGAACTCTGCAGAAACCCCCAGCAATCAAAGAATAAAACTGCCCAGATGCATTCACTCGGAAAAGGCTCAACACCAAGAACATATTAATTGGTGCTTTATGGTGGTAATTCAAACCATAACCAATGTTTATTCAGAAATATATATGTGAAAAATAATTATATATTTTTAAGTAATTTAAATTTAGACTCAAGTTCTTTTCATTTAGTTTGTCTTATTTATTTAATTGAAAATGGGGTTTAATGCGTTATATGGAAGGAAGTAAATACCATTTCTGGAGTATGTGAGGAGTTTCATATCACTTTTCAATTTGTATTTTGTTAAAAAATATAAATCATAATAATATTAAACTCAATTGGTATTATTTTGCAGTTAAAATTTGTTTTTATTAACTTCAATATTTACATATTAAATAACATATACACTTATATAAAATATTTAACTATAAATAAAATCCAAATGTCTTCAACGTATAAACATAAAACATTTTTAAAAATTCATTGCCTAATCGAATCTGTCTTACAATCAATAATAATTAATATTTTCATAAATATAATATATAAGGTGCATACATATGTCTGCATAAGGTACGAGTACATTACATACACATAAGTTATATATAAAAATCTTTTCTAATTAATTTTCTTATATAAATAAAAATCAAAGTAATATTATATTTTGCTAAACAAGTGAACATTTTTTGCTGATAGGAAAATAAAAAAGGAACGAAGAAGAAGAAGAAGAAGAAGAAAATGTTGATGGAAGAAAGAAATTCAATTAAAAGAGATTTGCTTTCTATGAATTTAGCCAATAAATGAAAATAATGTAATAAAAGGAAAATAAATTAATGATTTTATGAAAATGAAAAAATTCGCTAAACATCGAAAGTTCTTTGGTATTTTCTTATTGCTAATTACATTTTTTTTCTGTGGCCATTTTGTTTTTGTTCTCCAACATTTTGAAATGTGATGAGTTCTTGAAAGAAAATGGGAAAATACAATAGAATAATTGAATTAAAAAAACTAAATGAATTGTTTCGGAAACATTAAAGTACATAAAATTTTGGCTAATAGAGCGGAAAGTAGAGTACTAGAGAGTAGTACTAACACCACTACGAGTACGAGTAAAAGTTTGAGATGCTCAGTGAAAGATATTGAATGTATCCTATAAGTGTTCGCTTTCCATTGCAAATGGAAAAAATGTCCTTTTTGTTCGCAACTTTTATTATCCTTCACTAAGTCTTTTGTTGTGTGATTGTGATTGTGTGATTTTTATAAGTAATTTTTTTTGTTATCGCAAATTGACAAAAGTAATTACATATAGTCAAAGAGTAAGTATTCAATAATAGTTAATAATTTTATCCATTTAATTAAATAAATTTATAAATATTTTAAGTCTTTTCATTAGGTTCATTTTTCTTATTAATTGGATAGAAATCTTTAGTTTCTACGCCTTTACAAAACCCCTTTGGCACCACTTGTAGGATATTTGCTCGTCATATACATACATTTCAAAGATGATGATGTATATATAACACCCTGTATCATGTATATATGTGCCTAGCACATATAAATATGAATGTACATATGTGTAAGTAAAAAAATAGCTGCCAAATGAATATAAAATTATTTTTCCTACAGATACATTTCAACCTCGCTAACCGCATTTCGCTAACAAACTTAAATTTTAAGAAATAAATTTTAATTACATTTACAATCTAAGCTTAATTTTACAAATATTATTCTTTTTGGTATAAGCTACAAAAAAGTGGTATTTGTAGTACAACAACGTTAATAATTCAGATTCTTATATCAAAAACAGAAAAGGATTTTCTTCAAAGTCTAAATTAATTGCAACAAGGACTTTAGTCGAAAGCACTTTACAATTAAAAACTTATCTCACATCATTAATTTCTCTTATAATTGAGTCAACAATAATTAAGTGAATTAATTTGATTTTTAACTAAATTAATGCTAACAGTGTTGTTGTCGCTTTCTAAGAAATTCAAGTTTTCCTACAATCGCTAAGTTCAGTTTAAAACCGACTACAAATTTAACTACAGTCTAGCGCTATGATGATATATTGTCTTCAGATGCATCTAGCTCCTCTGGTGGATTCTTCTTTATGCAATCACGCACACCCTGCAATATGATGCCCACACGACGGTCCAGCGCATCTAAGTGTGGCTCCCATAGTACTGGATTCACAGGATCTGCTTGCATGGATTCGCGCATTGCTTGCGACAGCGTTTTTGGACCATTGTGAAAGCTACAAAAATGCAAAAATAATTGAATTTATTATGTGGAAATAAATTAAAATAAAATTAAATTTGTAATATTTCAAATAATGGACGGCATTTACTCAGCTGAGTACTGTGTGCCTGCCTATTTTACATTTTACAATATTTTCAAAATGTCTGCATTATGTTCATATTGGACAGGGATTTTTTACTCAGCGTCCTAGATAATTGTTAGCAAATTTGCTTAAAAATTCATTCATTTCAATTGGTGCATCAGTTCATTGATGCATCAGGATGTGGGGAATGTGGGGTATATGGGGAAAAAAATCAATTTCCATTTACCAGTTATATTGTTAAATATTGACTTACTCTAAAAGCCGCTTCAGTGTTGTTGTTCGAATCATGCAGCACTGCAGCATTGGTGCTAATATTGTTAATTCATCATGAAATGGTTTGCCAAATCCACGTCCATGATCCAAATGCAATGTAAATGTGTCGTTGCCGTACACTCTGAAATTAAGCAAATTAGGATTTAAAATATTAATCAAATAAGAGCATACTATAGCCTAATCTCAAATAGCAATTTAAATATTCAAATAAAATTATTTCAAAAACAAATTAATATATTCAGATTTAATATATTCAGACTATTTTTAATAATAGTAAAAATTAGTACTTATATATAATATATATATATTATATATATATAGATAAATATTTCAACATATGAGTTTTTACTTCATTTATTTTCATTTAAATAACTTTTTTTAATACCAATTCAATTTATCTGCTTTTAATGCATGATTTGAATTTTATCTCTATTTATCTGGTAATTTCAATTAACCATTTAATCTTCTCTTTTAATCTTTTCTTATTATAATTATTGTCTTAGTTTCGTGTGTCTTCCGAATTTTTTTTTCTTTGTAGACAGTTTTTTCTTATACACATTCTAACTCACTATTGTTCTGCTCTATATCTTCTTGATCTCATATAGCATCTTCTCTTAAATATGTATTTATCTTAAAAAGAATACACATAAATAAATAAAAAACACATAAAGAATGCAATAGCATAGAGGAAATAATGGATCAAATAAGTGCAATACAGAAATATATATACGGGCATAAGTGGAAAAGAATAAAAATAATAGATATCAAATATATCAAAGAATACTAGTAGCATTTGTTACGAAGTCAATAGGCCATCATATTGGACTAAATCATTTAACAATTGTTAAGAATGGAAATTTTTATTAGTATAAATACAACAATAGTATAAATACAATTTCTGAGTTTTAATTGGATTTGCTATAAACTTTATGTCAGCCATAAAAGGTAGGATAAAAATACTGATCACTTACAGATTCTGCGAAATGCAGACTATGCTATGTACTCGTATTCTGCGACTGTTTAAAAAATGGATTTTCTTTCATTGAAATGAAGAAGACATATACGAAATATGGTATATGTTATGCGTATGGTATATTATATATTATGAAAGTAACATACAGCACAAGCAGCTAAACTTCAAACATCAGCCAAATGATATTCAATTCAGTTGACTATATCTTTTCTCACAATTCCCGTGGTATTCACACTAAGAGTTCAACCGATAGTCATAAACTTTTTATTATAGCTCGTATTTTAAAGGTGTCATTAGTTTTGCTTAGAATGATTAATAGTTTTTGAATTCAATTAAAATCAAAGAACCCCGATTGGAACAACAAAATCCGAAAAATTTTAACTAACATAACATCCATTTCATATGATTGTTTAGGATTTCATAATCTCACCGAAGATTTCTGAACTATAGACTTCTTTACTAAAGTTACTTAACGGTAAATATATATACAGAAGTCAGACAGATATAAAAGCAATTTGTTTAGGATTCTTTAGCAGTTCTAAACGATATCTGCACCGTTTTCAGTGTACCCTTAATATAAGTTTTGAGGCATTATGATGTAAAGGAAAATGCTTTAGTTGTAAGGAAGGCAGTTAAATTAATTTAATCGAAACTTCATAGAAAAAAATAGCTTTTAGTCTCTGGCTATTAGTGGTATCACATCTTATGAAATAAATAACTCATCATGAGTTCACTATATAGTTTCTTTAATATATACATTGACTATGCTGGACTATTGTCTTGATCTTTGTAATGAAATTTAAAAATAAAATGTTGTGTATTTTCCCATTCAGGCACTTAGTTTCAGAGGCGAAACAATAGTAGGCGTTAGAAATAATAAGTCAATGAAACCAACTAATAAATAACATAGCGTTTTAGCAAGTATTTTCTAGAATGCTTGGTCTGAAAAATTAGAGATTATAATGTAATACGGAACATCTGACACTACTAATACCAAATGATTGGGTCAGAAAATCTATAGATAATAGTGCAATACGGAACATCTTGTGCAATATCCTACAGGTTGTGGGTTAAGTTAGGTTCAGGTTGTCATCTAACAAATTTTTGGTTCTCCGTAATATATGATCTCCACTATATATAAATATATCACCACAGCTTATCCAAATAATATATATTATATTCTTGAGGGACATTTACAAGGACAGCCAATATATGACAGATACTTCATTGCGTCTAATGAAGTGCAAAGAACTTTAATAATATATATTTTATATATATACATATATTATTATTTTTAATTTATTTTTAGTGTGCTTATAAATTTATTTATTCTATTTAAGTGAAATGTTTAATGAAATAATTTGATTAATTAAAATATATTTTCGAAATACAATTTTTTCTTAGATAAATTGTTGAATTTTCGGTATTTTGAATGGATGTGAATGAAAAGGATGTTAGCTTAAAAGGATGTAAATAAATTTTGTGTGAAAATTTGTTTTAGAAATTGTATTGATTTTTTTGAGTTTTTTTTACGATTCTATACAGAATATAGAGATTCTATACTTAACAATTTACATTTTCCTTTGAGTTGAAAAATAAATCATTAAAAGTAAATTAAATGAAACAGAAATTGCTATCATAAACATACATTTTGCAATTTGCAATAAATAACAAATTAATTTTATTTAATTGCAATATTTTATTAAATTATAATTTAGCTATAGTGTTAGATTTCTTAAACATTTTAAAAACTATTTTAATTTAGTATTTATAAATTTTATTATTGTCAAGTTATCCGAAAGGTAACATAGATGATACGATATTTACGTGAATAAATATATAAGAATAAGATGGCTACAGCGCTCAAAGTAGAACACCGCACCAACTATCGATTGCTATATCTATATTTGCTCGCTTTAGAGCAAAATATAACCCACGAGTTCAGTATTTAGATACAATAGAACCGGTCGTAATAATAATAAGCACTCCTAATAATATTACGATATGAATGATTATTTTCATATATATTGGAGAAATGTTGTCAAAAAACTCTAACCTTTTCTGGGATTAACCTGCTAAGGTATTAAGAACATACGAAATAATGAAATCAGCATCACTGGCCATTTATATTGAATAAGAGGTCAAGGGCCTCTTACACTGGTGTAATACCAGTTTAAATTCATTACAAGTCTTGACTATTCAAAATTAATTCCATTAATTGTTTATTTAGAGAAACGATGTTAGGAAGCATCGACTGTCACGAGGTTATATCCCCTGAGACTCATAATAATGATGATTTTGATTAGAGCATAGTGCAATTTTCCATTCTAGGAACCAACATTTTGTCACTAAATTTTTTACAGACCCCATAACATCAAGTATTTGATTATTTAAAATGATTTTATTTATTTAATTCAATTAAGTATTTGTCCACATAAACAAAGTCAAATATTTTTTGCAGTGCTCTACTGTATATTAAACCTTTTCATTTAGTTAACTGTTCAGCTTTCCTTAGGACCACGGTTGGTGGTATTAGTAGGTTTTGTTTTTTTTTCGCAAACTTGCAACATCAGGCAGCTGCCATGAATTATGAATTCATGAAATTTTGAAGTAATTTATCTCTGAATCTCCTCCCATATTTTTTGTTGTAATGAATTACAAACAATTTTGCACGTTGACTTCTAAAGCGGGCGAATGGAGCGTGTGCAGACGCATTTGCCACAATTCAATTGTAACTAAACGATAATTGAAAGTGCAACACCACCTGGTGACTGCATCTAATGCTAACGCAAATATGCACTTTAATAGTTGTTTGCATACATATTTGCAGTTTGCAGTTTGCAGTTTACTATTGCAGTTGTTTTTGTTTTTGTTATTCTTGTTGTTGGTGTTGGTGTGTTGCCGTTGCCGTATCTACCGCTGACAATGCTCACATGGAGATAAGCAAATATCTAAAGTTTGCCACAGCACACCAACGCAAATGTGCATTATGAAAATTTTAAATTTGGCGTATGCAAAGCCACCGACACCAACGTCACCACAGTGCGTTCCAGTATTGTGAATGCAGCTACTGGAACGTGCTCTGAAAGCAACTGCTGGAAGACACTTTTAGTATAGTAAATATCTGTGATATTCAAAATTCATGCCAACAGCACTTTAATCGACTTTGAATGCATCTCTCTTCTTTGCTGCTACTGTGCGGCGGTTGTGTCGCATTGGATATCTGCCTATCCTTGCCTATCCTTGCCTATCCTTGATGCTGGCAGAAATTTACATGGGTTCATATTGCTGGAATGCAAGTGTTACCACAAGTAATAAGAATGGATGTGGTGGAACGTAAATGCATTGGCTTGGTTAGGAATGTAGTTGAGTTTTGGATTTGAGCGCTTGTTTTCATTGCAAACAAGCCAAATGCTGTTGCATGCAACGCAACTCCTTTTTAAGTAGAAATAATCCTTTTTGACTGCGGGCTTAATGCAGCCACTGCATTTGTGTCAGGCATATGTCGACTTGCAAATATGAAAGTTGTCAATATGTTTACTCAAAGGCACTTTTACTTGGATATAGCAGCTCTCAAATTGCTGTTACTCTACATTTATTGTTTGCTGGGAAATGCCTTAAGTTCTGTGTCGCAAATTTGGTTTAATATGTTTGGGAAATTGTTTACGATTTGATTAAAATGTTGTCATTTAGGGGATTTGTAGTATATGTTATGTTTATTTTAATAATTGTGAACAAATTAAAATTGAAATAACTTCTGAAATAATTTTATTGAAAATAACAATCAACATATTGGAGCATTGTACAAAGACCCTCGAACGAGTGCTTAATATAATTGTAAATTTTAATTTTTGGAAATAAATTTATATATAGACATATAAATAAATACTAAGGGTCTAACTGCAGTGTTAATAAAAATTAAAATGTTTTTTGAAAATGTGATATATTATTTCCTTTCGACTATTAAGAAAGACTGTTATATTTTAATTCGAATCAAGGTATTTACTCATACATTAATAGCTTTATATATATTAGTTCCCGTAAATCCTATAAGGAACAAAGCGCCACAATTAGATTCTTCTATTCCATTCTGTTGGATGCAACCGTCTTTACTTCTCCCCAGGTTTTTCCAGTCCTAGCAACTTCGAGACCAAGTTACTTGCGTCATGTATGAGCCGGTCGTCTACTTCGCTATGGATTCCATTCTATGGCCATAAAATTATACTTAAACATATATATATTAGTTCCCGTAAGTCTTTTAAGGAACAAAGAGCCACAATTAGATTTTTCTATTCCATTCTTTTGGATGCAATCGGGTTTACTTCTTCCCAGGTTTTTTCAGTCCTAGCAAATTCGAGATCTAGTTGCTTGCACCATGTATTACCTAACCGTCCACTTCGTCGGCTTCCCTGTGGATTCCAGTCTATGGTCATAAAATCATACTTAAACATATGTATATATTAATTCCCGTAAATACTATAAGGAACAAAGCGACACAATTAGATTCTTCTATTCCATTCTGTTAAATGCAACCGTCTTTACTTCTCTCCAGTTTTTTTCAGTCCTAACAACTTCGAGATCTAGTTGCTTGCGCCATGCGTAAACCGGCCGTCCACTTCGTCGGCACCCCTGCGGAATCTAGTCTATGGTCATGCGGGTAATATCGTGTTGGGGCCTTCGTAGTGTGTTTGACTTGACCAACTTCACTTGCGCATGCGTATCATCTGAGAAACTTCTCTTTGATTTGCCGCATCCAAGAGGTTGTTATTCGATAAAGTTTGAGGCCAAAATATGGGTAATATTTAACGCAGACATTGATTGGAGAAGATTAGCAGTTTTTGTATATCTGGTGGTGCTGTGTTCCACGACTCGCACCCATAGAACATCGTCGATTTGACGCTGGAATTAGAAATGTTCAATTTTGTGCGGGTAAAGAGGTTACGAGACTTCTATGCTGGCATTAATCACTCATACGCTTGTCTTGCTTTTTAGAGACGATATGTGACATTTGCACAACTTCGTCCACTGTTTGTAGGAAGCTGCCAAGCTAGCAGAAATTGTTGACGTCCTCTAACCTACTACTAAAGATAGTAAAAGGCTGTTAAAAGACTACTTGAACATTAGTAACACACAATTATTGTTACAATAAAGTCATTTTTGTAGTTACTTCGATAATTTGAAGGTGTTGAGTTTTACTTTGAAAGTCAAGCTTTGTTTATCTTACTTTTTGATAAAATAATTGCAATAATTGAAGATATCTGTGAGTTCATTTGACTTACTCATTTGACAACTTTATTTGTAGTCATGTTATAAAACTCTCTAAATGATTTCTAATTTATCTACGAGAGTACATAATTTATTTCCATTCATAAAATGTATTTTAATTTGGATTTTCCTCAAAGCTAACTTCAATCAGTAGCAATACAAATTATTAACTAGGTTTGTAGAAATTTCTTGAAACAATGTTACTCGTATATTCTCGACAATTCCGGCAAATGCTCTAACGTCGAGAACAACAACAACAACAACAGCAATAACCGCAAATCACAACTGCAACTAAAATTTTGTGAAAATACAAAATTTGTAGTTTTTAAGTTTTTAAGTTGCTGCATATTTAGCTTGATTCCTGCTTTGACACTTTGCGGCACTCTGCCACAATTTGGAAACAATGTACCGCAATTACTTGCATAAAAACTCAGAAGTAAATCCACAAGTTGAAACTTTTATTTGGTTTAACACGATTGGATTGGCTTGTAGTTGGAGTAAGAAAACCCTAAAACCAAACCAAACCAAACGAAACCAAACCAAACTAAACTAAACCCAGTCAAGTTAAGCCGAACCGAGCCGATCCGAGCTGAGCAGAGCATAGTTGAGCTGAACTACTAACTACAGTGAAGCTCATTAAAAGTTAATTAAAATTTTTGTGTACGGTGCGGTACAGTGGCATGAGGCGGTATAATAAGGCGTTGGGATATTGGGCGTTGGGAATGCATGAAGTAAGGAAGAAATTCCTTAAAAAGTATTTGTGGCTAAAGTAACAAGGGTCAAAATTAAAACTTCAAATAAAAGTTTCATTTCCTCTGCTACTCTGTTACTCTACCATTCTGTTACTCAGCTATTCTGTTACTCAGCTATTCTGTTACTCTGTGCTTTGTACTCGTATTTATTATAGAAAATAACTTCAAGTCTCGAAACGTGCTTAAAAGGAAATAATTTTGTATCAAATTACCTTCGTAGTTGTCGAGCATGGAAGTTACAAATTTGGGTCGGTTAATTATCTGTTAAGCAGAAATGTTCCTATTTTCATAATTTTCTGGTAAAATTGGTGTAAAACCAAAGCAATTAGCAAGTGAACTTTTTTTTCTAAATAACTACAACAACAACGTACAGTATTGTATTTGTTGCTTTTTTGTGAAATCATAGAAATGACAAACTAAGTTAAACAAATATTAGCTTAAGTGTTTGTTTACAGGAGATTTTAATTAATATTTGGTGTCAATAGAATTTGACACAGTCTAGATATTGTTACAAGTTTCTATGAGTTTTTGGAACGGAAACAAAAAGAATTTATGTCACAGTTTTATGGGATTTTGATCCTATAAAAATGCTAAATATTTGTTTACTCCACTCTTAGTTTCCTTTTGGGAAGCACTTAAACGCATTTAAAGTACCAGCTTAGGTACGTTGTTCAAGTCAAAATATTTTCTAATTTTAATATAACACAAAAACTATTTTACCTCATCACTACATGACCCTAGGCCACGTCAGCACTCCATGGCAGAGTTAAAGTTTACTGTTATGTAAATTGAAGTATTTTTTCGAATACTTACTTGAAAGTTTCATAATGATGACGATCCATATTGCCTATCAGAAAGTCAAATACAGACATATCCATCAGATCTAATAAACGACGTCCATCATCATATGGAGGTATATCACGCACCTGAAAGGAAATAAAAATAAAAGAATAATGTTTAAGATTAATGTTGGAGATTTGAGATTATTAATTATCAGTTATAATTAATAAAATATATAAATATTAAATATTAAAATATTAAAAATTAAAAATGTGTTAAAATAAACTTTTGAAAGAACTAATGTTAATGCAAATATTTACAAAAAAGAATTTGAGCTAATTACTGCAAGTCACACTGGAGTCAGCTATGGGTTAGTTGATGTATTATCATTTAAAACAGACCATAAGTTAAAATTCTTTTCTACTTTATATGCTGCTGTGTATTAAATGAATATCTCAGGGACATAGCAAGTAGTGGCTACCATGTGAAGGTATGATATTTTTTCCTACTTTGTACCCTACTTTGTATATTAAATGTATAAACTTGAAATTTTAAAGAGTCTGGTCACATGATAGTTCTGCCTTCAGAACAGTGTTTAGAGAATTTCCGAGTTAAAGCATTTCTTACTAATTTCTATTAGGCATTATCCGGTACTGTTTGAAGTATAACTGATAATAAGTACGTTTCACTTTTGACACCAGACCGAAAGTGTAAATCTGGTACCAAGGGGATTAGGGTCAACAGCTTTAGGTGTCCTAACCGATAGAGGTTAGCCGCTTTAATGATAGTAAAGTTGCAGCTTTGGTCAAAACCCAAATCTAAGCGAGTATAATAATGTATTCATTACTTTTATTCGATGTGAAGTTTCATTTTCCAATTGGGTTCTGAACTTAAAGAATAGCAGATGTGTTAAATAGGCCTCTCCCCCACCAAGGATGAAACTATATCCAAACGTATATGACCAATTGCTGTCGATAGATCGCTTTGAAATTCCAATGAAACTTTTATATGTATGCTGCACGAATGTCTTACTATTTTTAAATAACACTGTTTGCTTGAGGGTGTTCCATGTAGAAGAAAGTGACGTTTATCATATTGTTATTTTTTATAGTTTATCGAATTACAATAGAAATTTATTAGGTATGGGGACTCGAATCAAATTAAATGCAAAAAAGGGAACTTTTACTTCTTATAAGGAAATACATATATATCACTAAATAACTCTTCTAAGTAGCATTAGACTACCTATAGTACAAAAGTCCACTATTTGAGCTAAGTTGCCTTCGGACACAAGGCCGCCATTCCGATCTAACCTGACACTAGAATATAACGAAGAAGTATGTTAATGCTAAATATCTGGCACTCGTTCTTGACAAGAAGTTGAATAGGACTATGAAATTGACTATAAAATATTGACTATAAAATAATAATAGGCTGTATGATAAGTATGTGTATGTGTATATCACATTCCTTTGCGTATTAAGAATATTTATCATTATGCCTTAATATTGAATACTGTATATTATGTTCATATATTTATGAAGAAATATTATAGTTGACAAAGTTTGGCGAGAATGTAAAAATCAGTTTCTTATAATTATTTTTATGTTTTCGGTGCTGTTAGCTGTCTTCTCATCATTTTTTGCTATTTTGTGTTTGTATCTAAAAGTGTGACTCTTGTTTATTTTAATAAATCTATTCGAGCTAAGTTGAGCATTAACTACTTGTGTGAGTAAGTGCTCAAGCACTAACTTTGTAATTAATATACATTTTAATAGGTTCATTAATGTGATTAGTGATTCAGTTTAGTTTGTTTTTATATATTTAATTTCATAAATATACTCAGTATATTAAGCTACTCTTATTTTCAAATTCTTAAGTGGTACATAAGGTAATTAATATATTTTTTTTATTTTTGCGATGGTTTAATTGTTTGATTGTAAATAACTATTGACTATCCATATGTCTACTATAGTCTAAAGTCATCCTAAACATAATTAAAAGAACATTTTTAAAAATATTTTTTCTTTTTTTTTAAAAACTAAAATAGTAAACAAAAAAGTTGATCATTAAAAAAAAAAATTATTAAAGTATTTAATAAAGTTTTATGGTAACGAAAGCCATCTTATATAAATAATGAAAACATAATTTTAATGGATTTAACTTAATTCGTTAAGTCCGATTCTTAATTCAAACATAATTCCATTATACTTCTACTTAGGTATTTCACTTAATCCTATTTTTTATTGTTTACAGGATTAGACTTTAAATTAAAGGATTAAGAATTCATAATCAGTATATGTTGAAATGTTTTGTGTATATGTCAATAAGAAGATCAGAAATGCATACGTAATAAATTACACCCATTTTTTCTATATAACTATTTTTACAAGAGCAAAACCAAGTAAAAATTAAAATGAAAAAAACATTTAAAGAATTTTTAAATCATATACAATAATAAAAAAAGCTTTATATATATAAATTGCATTTAAAGGAATATAATACGACAGTGATAAAAAAATGTACGGTGGCACATATAACGCATGTTGCCATGATAACCATACTGAGTAAGTCCAATAAAAAGATACTAATGAAGAGATAAGCCAGTGCGAGTGGCATGTATTCCATTTCTCTTGTATTTTTTTATTACGTTTTTATTTTTTTCCTTACTCCTTTTTAAAATGTTTTAATTCGTTGACTAGAGCTTCGGTGCAACTTACCATGGAACAGTAGCTAGCATCCGTTTCCCATTGCGCCTTTCTACGTTTATGATAGGAGCGACGCCAAGGATGGCGCCAAACCTGCAAAGAAATGAAAGCAAAATTAAATATTTAAATTTAAAATTTCGAACTTCAATATTTTTGTGTTTTATTTCGTTTTGTTTGATTAAATCTTCAAAAAAGACAAAGCGAAATAAGGAGTTATGCTTTTACAAGCTGTGAATAAAATATATATTAAATTTAAGAGAGAATTTTTATTAAGAAATCTACAGAACAGTGAAACTGAATATTCAACATAAAAAATCCTTATACTGTAAATATATCCGTGATTTCTGACTCAAAAGAGTTAAGTCGTACAATGCTTTTTCATATGAGAAAAGAATAAAAAATGTAGAATTTAAATTAAATTCTAAAGTTAAAAATACTAAACAATACAATGACAAAAATTAGTCTTAAAATATACATTTTTTTTAGCAACTCTAAGCGAATTTCGCATCCGCACCTGTAATCCGATATACCATGAAGGCGCACACAGCGCATCGAAGAAAGTTGTTCAAATTTAGCGGAAGTTAAAAGTTAAAAACAATAATTGCCAAGAAACTGCAGTTTTGTGCTTTTCACAGGAAGCTGCAAAAAAGTCGTTATTTCGGTAGGAAATTCAGTGCAAGTAGAATTAAAGTAGATTCTACTTAGCGAGTCGCGACAAATAGCAAGGCTGAGGAGGCGATGCAGCGGTGCTGCCACTGCAATGGTGTATGCGGAAACATTGAAGCAGTGACAAAGTTAAATGATGATAATAGCAACTTATATATGGCCTTCCTTTCGCTAAGGTGGCTGATACAAAAACTGCAAATGAGCTATTTTCTTAAAAGTGCAAGACAGGAATAATGAAGGTTGCAGGATGCCTTGGAAATGCTTTGTACAGTGACACGTGTCAGTAGCGTTCTTTTCTTTTTCTTGTTAAAAACCCTTTTATCCTTTTGGTAAAATTAAAAATTATAAAGCAAAAAGTACAAACATAATTTCAGCAAAATTTTTAACAAATTGTGGCTTAAAAGCGCTGAAATGAAGCATCTGAAGGTAATACATGCATTTGTGATATTTTTTTTATAAAAAAACTGTTGCATCCTTTCAGGCGAGTTTAAACTATCTGGAATGGATTTGTCGGAAATTGCATTGAAGTTGAAGACAATATCATAAAAAATGGTTATGTTAAAGATAGTGGCTTGTTTGCAATTATCGTGTAGCTTTTCATAATGAATGATCGCAAAATAAAACTAGAGCCATCCTGTGCAGTTTATTTATTAAACAATTCTTTTGTGTTGAAGGATGAAAAGTCCGATACTCTGCTGGTGATTCTTTAATCCTATTCCCTAATCTGAAGGCCAGCTTTCACAGAATGTGAACTTTTTTTCGTGTAAATTTCTTCAACTTCTATAATCAGTTTTAAGCAATTTATTTGCGTAATTTTTTATATACCAATGGCTTCAAAGTACTTTAATCAACGTAGCAGCAAATACACATTCCAAGTTAATAAGGTTGAGTTCTGATCTTAATATATTTTATTAGTTATATGACTGATTATTTTCTTAATTGTGTTATGTATAATATTTTTTTTTTTGCTTATTATGCACACATTTTCGACCGTTTTTAGTTTATTTGTAAATTAATTACACAAATTACACATTCTGTGACGTTAAATTGAATTTTTGTGTAATTGAAATATCAACAACGGCATTAATCACGCCTAACGGAAGAAAAAAACAAACGAAATGAAGTTTCGTAAATGAAATCTGAAAAGGGGAAACATAATTAATTATGCCACACCCACATGTGCAGTGGGCGTTCTTGTGAGTTGTCTGTGGGTAAGTGCAAAAATTATGACAAATTAATTGTGTGTGATTAATAAGCTGAATACGATTATTATTATAATTACTTCTTTTGGTTTTTGTGCCGAATGCGAATTCTTGGAAGAAGGCAGAGAACATTTTTATTTAAAGATATAAAGAAGTTTTAGTGTTAAGATTCAAGAAAGATAATATTAATATTAATTGTTTACATGGCTTTTAATTAAATTTTAGTAATTTTAATAGAGTTATGAACAACGCATTCACATAATTAAAACATAATTTATCTTATTTCTCACATATATAAATATTTTTCTTATGTTATACGTACTTAAGAAAAGTTTAATATTTCGGCTAATTTTTTATATATTAATTAAATACAAAAAAAAATTATCCTTTATAATTTTCTTAAGTTATTCACGCTTTTATTTTTATAAATAAAGAATTTTTTTGTGTAAATTTTATATATTGAAAAGGTAAAGGACAGAATATCCTTTCGTGCACGAAGACTTTAAACGTTGTCTTTGTTCAAAATTATAATATTTTAATATACTCCTTTTTTCTTTTTATACTGATAAGATACAGTAATTTACTAAAGGAATTCCTTAAAACGACAAAAAATATTTATAAATAAAAATGAAAATAAACAAAATGAATAAAAAATTGAAGAAAACGAATAAATTAATGTTGGGTCCTCTTTCAAATAGAGCTAGCGGAAGGAGCATCATTTGTAATTTTCTTAATTTTTATGCAAATAAGATATTTAAATATGCTTATTGCATTAAAAAATATTTTGGGTTTTAACAAATTTTTGCAGTGACTTTGATTAACACAAGGCTTTGAACTCATTTTTCAATTCAAACATAATTAAGTTTAGTATTCAAAAAATTTTAAAGGACATTAAAATGGTATCCTTTTAATTATTTTGTTATCAAAATAAAAAAGAATTAAAGATAATTATGCATATAATTTTCCATTGTGTACAAAAATACATTAACCAGTATTTTTTTAGTATCATATCAAATGTTGTAAAAATGGTATATTAGGTTTGAAAAGTTATTGGTTAGGATGAGGTACGAAGGAACATTAAACATTTAGTATAAAAAAATAATTCCACTAACAGATTTGTGTTTATATGAATATTTTAATATTTGGCTTTAATCTAAACTGGAGAGAGAGAAAATTCATTTGAATCCAGAGAAAGGATAACGATAAATAGATGATAAATTTATTATTCGAATTCAACTCATCGTTCATATATGAATGAGTAATGGATTTTCTATAAGAAAACAATTTCAAATATGAAACATTAAAGATTTTAACTGTTTTATAATAAGCCTATTAGATGACATTATTGAAGTGTATTTATTCGTATATGGATCAAGGTGTATCCAATCATCTCAAAAAGCATCTTTTCATAAATGTCATCCTCAAACTTCTCGTGGTGATCCCTGTTTTAGTCCTATGAAGTAAAAGCGACCGAGTCTTCAGCGGTATGAAGACTGGGGCAGGTTCGATGGTCCAGAATCTAACAACCTTTATGTAAGGTAGCAAACCTACCACCGTAATTGGATGCTTTGGTGTAAGCTGCTACTGTATTTGACTTTGAAATGATTCGAGTATTCACAAGAGCAGCAAGAGCAGTATTCCATTCACAAGGAATGGAAACTTGATGGTTAAAAGGACAAGATTTGGACAATGGAATGTACGTACGCTATTCTAAACTGGAAAATTTGTCCAGCTGTCTGCTAATTGTCAAAGACTTAAGATTGGTCTGTTAGGAGTAACTGAAGTTCACTGAAGTGGGAGCAGTGAAATTTGTAATAGTAATGGAGGCAACTTTTTTGTCTCTACCTGATGAAACGACCCGCACAATAGATGCGTGGGAATTTATTTTATTTATTTTGTTTATTTATTCGTATAAAGTGAAGTGATTAGTGGTCTCTTAATTTAAACTTTTAAGTTAAACTATTAATTAACAACAATTTCTTAATTGCAATTAGTCTATACTAGTTGTATATGTTATAAAACAGTTTATAAATATATTTTATTTAATTTTTTTGTTTATATTTCATTAATATTTAATATTTTTATATAATATAACATTTTTTTTCTTTTTTCCCTTATTCACATATTTTAATTTTAATAATACTCTTGCTGTCGCTTATTAAATTTCCTTTTAAAGTTGTGACATTTATTTCGCCTTAAGTCTTCTTGTCTTCTCTCTACTCTTCTCATAATTAATTACGCAGCATCATATATAATTATATAAAAATTATACAAAAAGTATATAAAATTCTGTATGAAAACTCATTATTCAAAAACCATTTAATCATTGCACCTGCTAATTAATAACAAGGAAATCCTTTTCACCGAAAATATCATAGAACTCACCTTTCGTCCTGTCTGGTCAAAAGCGGGCAAAAATGCAGCAAACGAGCCCTCTAACATGTCGGGGTTACCACAAATGGCATGCGATGTGTCGCAGTAGTAGGAGCATTTGCCATGGAAGCACAAATTGGATGATGGCGAGACAAAGAATGTCTTTAATAAATTATCATCGGCCACTTGATATATTTCGGTGGTGATGTTAAGCAAACGTCCAGTAACTGGCATTGCGCGACGGAAACCAAGGATTCTGTAAAAAATACAAATACATGGATTTAAGAAAGAGATAAAAAGAAGTAGGTAATATAAATTTATCATAACAACCAGCAAAAGATGTTGTAAGGATAACGAAAATATAAAAATAAAAATTAATTTTCCTCCATACAGAATACAAAAAAAAAAGAGGAAAGTTTTTTTTACAATATATTGGCTGAAGCATTTTTTATGGAGTTGAAGTTTAAACCATGCAAATGCTACTTTAAGAAGTTCCAAGAAAAGAAATGTTCGTATCCACGTGTGTGCACCTTTGTGGGTTACAATGCTGAGTAAGTGGAATTTTTAACAATGTAAAATGCTTGTTAAGCTTCTCATGGTTATGGGAATGTTTTGCCTTTTTCGTTTTGTTACTCATACGAAGGGTGTTACGTAGGGTGTTACTGAGATGTGTTGTAAATTGTAAATTGCGCTTCTCTCCAATCCTTTTTTATATATTTTTATTTTTACTAAATTTTTAAGAGTTTAAAGAAATTTAAGTTTTCTCTTTTTTGTGAGAAAATTCCTGTCACAATTTAACAAGCATTTGAATGATGTTAACATATTTTTTTTCTCAGAAAATTAACTTGTTAAGCTTCATTCTGATATTGTCTTTAAAACCCATTTAAAATATTTCAACTGCATCCTTGCTCCCAAACTAATTTATTTTCGTGTATTTTAATACATTTTGCCATATTATTCTTGCCTAAAATAAGTCCACATTTTCCCTCTTGTACTATTATGTGTTGTCTGCTTCATGTGAAAAAAGGATTTCTTGTGTCAGAACGTCTCCTTGTTTTTTTTGTTTTCGGTATATTTTACTTCTTAGAAATGATGTATGGCCTCTTGGCATTTCTCTGTTAACATACATGAGCTTTTTGTTAATATAGCATTTAAGATATTATTAACATGTTGAGGTATTTATGTGCAATATATTTCACGTATAAATATTATTACTCAAAAATGCAAATTGCGAAAATTTTCAACCGTTTGACTCTGCGAAAATAGATACTTTATCATTCTGCCATTAAATTATTTAAAAAGCATTTTTAATTAAATATGATTCAAGCAAGCATTGTCTGCGTTTAATTCCCACTTGGGTCCATTCCAAAAATCTATTCGGCTTAAAAATTGCTTTATGGCTCCGACTTAGAAAAAGAACTTGAAGCACTTCTTAAATTTACATAAAAATTGGAATTCTACATGATGCCTAGAGAGATGTTTAGATATATCTGATACTGCTAGTGGATTATAGGTCCTCGACAGTCAAACTATTATACAAGAATAGTTTGTGTAATATATAAGGTACTACCGGTTTCTTGGTAGATTTATTAACTTCTTTTTCAAAATAAATTTTCTTTATTTAAAATAAATTTTGATCACGTATATTTTGGCTATTTTTGCTTTTGACCTCTTGTCATTTTTTGAATAATATTATTATTCCATTGATGAATAAATTCAATGATTTATCTGTGGAAAACTTGATGAAGTGATTTTCAACGACTCTTTATTTGGCCAATTATTGACCATTAAGAAAGTTTTACTGAGATTAAAACAAATTGAAGTCAGATGATAGATGATCTGGACTTTACGGTGGATAAATCAAAACTTTCCAACCAAGTTTTGAAAACTTATTTCAAGTTACCAGACATAAATATATGATTTAGTCTGGCATATACATAATGAAGTACAGCTCTTCTTCTGTTTCCCAGTTCTGTTTACCTTTTTTCAATCCTGTTGTCCAATTCTGTATACCTTCTCATATTTGTGTTATTCAAGCGGTGGAGTTTTAAGCGGTAGTGGACCGTTGCATTAGGTTGGAGTAATTCGTAATTCAAAATTTCCATCTAATCCAAATAATCATTCAACATAACCTTGCTTGCTGTCAATCCAGGCTTTTGAATTCGTTTGTGGAGTGTCATCAGTCTTTGTTCATGGTTCATCACCCATAAAAATGTTTTCGAAAAATTGTTCAATTTCGTTGTATTTTAGAGGCGTTTTAATGATATTTATTCGATTCATCAAATTTTTGCGTGAATGCATACGGTACCTAAACATCGAACCTCTTTGTGTAGTCTGCTCTATTAAAATGATTGCAATCTGTCATTTGGTTGATGTTTAGTGATTTCGCTAACTTCTAACAGCTTGCGTGTTGGTATTGCTGTACCAATTGAAACATTTCATCGACATTTTTAGTGATTGGTCAACCACAGTGAGGAATTTGTTGAACTAAGATCAGAATCTTTGAATAAAGTGAACCATCATAATAGAATTGAGTAAACAGCATAATATGTTGTTGCAGCAGTTTCAACTCTTTTATAATCACAGTTTTACATAGAGTATTTTTTTAAATATTTTGCTAAATATTATATGAATATAACTTCTAACAGTAGCCAAGAATTACTTAACTGCCTTCACAAAAAATTTCACCTTATAATGTCACCTTATAAATACGTTTTTGTTTAACATAAAGGAATGAGTCTTGTCAGTTATATGAGTACCAAAACCAGCTATAAATATATTTGATTTAGCACGTTTATATATTTAATATTAATACTTTATATTTTGAGCTATTTAATATTAAAAAGTGATTCTATTACGAAAATACTAACAAATGATATCAATATATACTACACATTTATATATTTAATATTAATAATTTATATTTTATCAATTTAATATTAAAAGGTGGTTCTATAACGAAAACACTAAGAAATTTTGTCAATATATAGTACACGTTTATATATTTAATATAAATATTTTATAATTTGATCAATTTAATATTTATATATGGCTCTATAACGAAAACACTAAGAAATTATGTCAATATATAGTACACGTTTATATATTTAATATTAATATTTTATAATTTGATCAATTGAATATTAAAAGGTGGTTCTATTATGAAAACACTAAGAAATGATATCAATATATACAATATATATATGTGATACTCCAATTTTCGAAATGAAAAATATTCAAGAACAAAATTTTTAATTTGTTTTTTATTTATAAATACAAAATTAAATTTAAAAATATTTTTCCAAGTAATTTTGCAAATAATTCCAGCCACAAACAAAACATGCCATTAAGTGCAAATTTCCCGCATAAGTGTTGGCAACAGAAGAATGTTAAAAAATAAAATTGCTCATACGCTACGTGGAGCCCATAATCCAACAACACTGTTTAACTACTGTGTATGTGTAGGCTAAGAAAATATTTCTATAATATTAAAATAAAAAACAGTTCAGCAGTGCTTCCTCGTGCATTTTGTGTAATTTTTCTTATCAAACAAAGCTTAAAACCCACCAGTAAAACACAAAATGTAAACAATCACAACAGAAATTCACGAAATTTTACACTTGGCGCAATCAAATTATAGCACCTATGCTCAGCACACCTCCCAAAGAGTACAATAAAGTTGTTAAGCAAACAAAAGGAAAAAAAGAAAAAAAAGAAAAAATTGGTGAAAACAGGAAAGAAGGACTCAAAAACATCGCAAAAAAAAAACATAAAATAAATAAAGGGAATTAAATAAGCAATCTTACCTGTCCAAATGGAAAGCGGCTATCTCAGCATTGTGACGTTCATAGTCGGTAAAGTAGAAATGATTCGGTAGAGTTTGTTGGTCCCGGGGAAATCTGTAAAATAAAAAACAAATGAGAAATTAAATTAAAACAAGAATTTTATAAAAAAAACAAAAAAAGAAGAAAAAAAACAAATACAGTAGATAAATAGTAGCACAAAATAAAACTGAAAGCTCAGAATGCTCAAATGCTCCTGACAGAGGAGCTCTGTTAACGGATGTGTGATATGGAGAAATGTTGGTATCAATGTGTGATATACTATATTTGGTAATAATGCTTCTGTTGGGTTATATGAGCATTATGTGAAATAAATGTTATTATACATTTGTTTTTGTTTGTTTATGTGTCAGTATGTTTGATGGTTTGATATTTTACTCTGTAATGCTCTTAATTGCATATACAATAGGAAGTTATGAAATGAAATGAGTGAATACTTAAAAGAAAACACAAATAATATTAAAAGAATAATGATAGTTTGCTTTTGGTTGTGATCTATTTTATTTTATTTTATTTCGTTGTTTCTCCTTGGCACATTTAAAGAACAAATTGCTTGTGTATTTATCTTCCATGACAGTGCAATTATGCAAAATGTCTGATTTCCTCTTCCGTTTGCTTTAATTTCATTTTCTGACACTACAATTTTATATACTACACTCTGATATTTATTTATTGATGTCATACATAAAAAATTAATTCTTTTTCCTTTTTTGTTTTTGTTATTATTTTGATGGACATATGTGTGTATAAGGAATTTTCTTAGTATGCGTTTGTTTTATAGAAATTTGTTTTTAAAAATATAAGCTAAAACTATTACATTTAATATTAAAGTCAACTATGAGGAGAGAAACTAATTTTCTATTAGAACGTTATGGAGAGGTTTAACCAAACCAGATTTATTTCACGCTAAGTTTCATTTTTGTATCAATTAAACAAGATTTAAGGTGCATCTTATAATAGTTCTTCACAAAACTCAAAAATAAGTTAAATTATTATTAATATCTCGAATTTGAAGTAGATAGCAATATTAAAATACGCAGATACATAACGAGGTTGGGATCATTAATCCGATCCAAGCAATAGATCAATATTTTTAATCGCTATTGAAGCGCTTCTATAAATAGATCAATCATTTTAAATCACTATTGTAGCGATCCAAAAAATAGATCAAATTTGTAATCCCTATTGAAGCGCTTCTAAAACTAGATCAATAATTCTAAATCACTATTGTAGCGATCCAAAAAATAGATCAATATTTTTAAGTTCCTACTGCAGCGATCCTAAAAATAGATCAATATGTTTAAGTCCCTATTGCAGCGATCACAAAAATAGATAAATATTTTTAAATCCCTATTGCAGTGATCCTAAAAATAGATTAATAATTCTAAGTCCTTATTTGGCGATCCAAGAATTCTAAATTATTTTAAATCCAATAAATCCATTAAATTTTTTAAAGTCTTAAATTAATAACTCTTTTCATTTGATATTATAACCTCAGATATAAAAAGTACTGAGATCTAATTGTCTACTATATTTATAAGTTATATTATATGAATATTATTAGTAATATTATTATTATATATATTAAAATTGCAATGCAGTAGCAGAATAATAATTTATAAATACTATGTATAAGAAAAAAATTGTGCATCTTAAAAAATAAAAAATATGTGAGATTTTACAAATGAATATCTCGCGGAGCGAAAAGATTTTTGGGTCTAATTTCACCGTTACAAAATTTTTTCTATTCCAAAAGAGAAAGATCTTTTAAAATCGGTAGAGATAATTTTTTAAGTTTTTGTACATACATAAACATTTAAGTAAACAATTGAAAGAACCCATGTAATTTTTTTTGTGCTACAGACATATCCTAATTGACTAAAAGGCAATCAACTTTTCGAGTGAAAGCTAAAATGTCAGCTGTTAAGGACTTCTTATTCTTAGTAATAGTAATTCTTCTTAGTAATAGAAATTAACTTGTTAAAGTGTTTTTAATATCAAAAATGGAAACTAAGCTAATTAATTAAGATAATTAATAAAGTATCCTGATTGAACAGAAAAATTGAGCTCTTCAAATGAAAACCAAAATATCAACTGCAAATGCCTTCTTAATATTCAATTGAAGGCTTCAACTAAGTATTCTCATTCTGACTAAGCTGACGACATTAACATAAGCTGTTGGAACGAAAGCTAAAATATTAGCTGTTAATGACTTCTTGATATCAAATAGGGATAGGAGCATTTGACTCAGCAATTTCCTGATTGAGCAAAAAACATTTAGGTCTTTGAATCATGACTAGCATATCAGTTCTAAAGGACTTCTTATTATTAATAAGAGTTTAAAATCTTTTAAATTTTTAATATCAGATGTGACTAGAAACTTTCAGTTTAGCATCCTTTTTGTGATTAAGCAGTAGATATTCTGCTCTTCGAATTAAAATCTACGATGTTGCTAAGAATAAGTTAGTATTAAATGGAAATGGCAGCTTTCGTCTTAACATCCACATCTTAATTAATTAGTAGACATTGAGTTATTCCAGTGAAGCTCAAAATATCATTGTAAAAACATCTTTAGTATTACAAGCGGATAGAAGCTGGCGGTTTTATATTCCGCTTTCGTCTCCTATTAAAGCCTAACAGTTACAAAGAGTGTGACCAGACATCTATCGCATTTGCCATTTTTAAAATTTTAGTGAAGTAAATAAACCACTGAAGGTTTAAATATTCAAGCTCCTTGAATATTCCTTCTGTCGATGAATGTTTTTAATACATTTGTTTGTTAAATTTTCATTGAATTATAATAAATAAATTGCTAAAAAATTGAAACACATATCCTTATTCAAAATGAAAAGGGATAATATTTTTAATGTTTAATTATGTAAATTATTAAGTAAACAGAGGGAAAACAATTGTGGTTACAATTAATTAATATTAAAACTTAAATAAGTGTTTAAAATTACCCGAATACAAAATATTTTTTAACAAAAGCACTGAATAATATATTTAATTTTTTGTGTTTTTCATATAAAATTTTTTCGCTGTGATACTACAAAGGCATAGAGACTACAAAAAAAAAGAATAAATATTTCACTCATCATTGTGTTGTTTAATGAGCTTAAGTGATGAAAAGAAATAATTAATTTCATTGCTAAAGGATATTGACAAGTATTTAATGCTTGTCACATAATATTTAACTCACCTCATGGGTTTCATTAATGCCTTTACGTCATTGGGATATTCAATCATTAATTTAAGTTGCGTGCCGCCTTCTTTTTGTACTGCAAAAAAGAAAAAAAAAAACAAAATAAAATACAATGTTTAAATAAAAACATATTTAATTACAGGTATTTAATATAAATAAAACTTGTATTGGCTTAATTTTTGATACATGTTCATTTATATAAAAAACCTTACTTAAAATAAATATTTATTTTTATAATAGTTCACTGACCGCTCCAAGGCACTCGTGAAGTCTAGAGTCCTTTTATGGGAAACATTTTAATTAATAACAAAATATGCACATTCTCTGATGTAGTTTTTAATAAATGCAACCACTGCAAAACTATTAAAAGCTTAAACTTTTTGTCTTCTTAAAATTTGTAAAAGTTTTTTAAGTAAACCAGAAACAAGCAAGGAAGCCAGTAAGAAATTGCGCAAATGAAAATTGGTTTCCTTACACTAAACAGAATAACAACAGGCTAAAGTTTCTGGAGAAAAAATAAACCAAAAATTATTGCAAGAAATACTTATATGAATATATTCATATATATATTGTACTATATGTACAATATACTATATATCATAATATTCAAAAACGAGTGCAGTAAGCAAAGTAGCATAAAAAAATTTGAGTATAGAGTAAGGAAAATTAATTAATTGAAGTGATTAGAGTAATTAGTAAAAATAAAGCAGAATTTTAATATTTTTGTTCTCAATATATGTCCATAATAATGCATTCTATAATGTTTAGATTTCACAAAAATTGACAATGATCTGTAATTCAATCCGAATTACAACGCGTATCGAGCTAGATATACTGATGAGCTATATCGCGACATTGACTGCACTGAGCCTCATAACAAGTAGTTTTTTTGTTGTTTATATACAACAATTAGAACAATGTGTGCTTAACTACTCCCAAGGTGAAAGAGTGGGAGTAGAAATGTTTCGTTCTATAACCGCTGTCGGTTAGCACGATAGAAGATGTCCACATTTTAGATTAAAAGATAAATTAACAAACGATTAGGCTTGGCTTGATTCTCAAGCTATAAATTGAACTGCCTGCTAGAAGCTATTACATACGAGGAAGTATCATACATATCTGGTAAGGCTAATTAATTTAGAACGTTTATCGATATTATGATCAATTTTAGTTTAACCATATTTCTAAAAGAATTTTTAAAATAATAAGTAAACAATTTTATTCTTCAGTCAATAGAAGAGAAAAAATAGACGAAAACGACAAAAAGTTAGTTTGGTGCTCTTCGTCTGCTTTATTATAGGATTAAACCTTGTTTTGTTACAACAATTGAATTGGATATATTTATGTGAAATTGTGACATATCAAATTATCATTTTCATGTTTCTGTAGAGCCAAACGTCTAGCATTCACGCCATCTCTTCAGCGGTCGATCGGGTAATCTCGCGAGTCGCGACTGTTGGTTTCTTTACCATTGCAATCTTGGCCAGGCGATAATTTTCCATTCTTAATTTGGTGTTAAGAGTACAAAAGTGTAACATAATTTTTTAATATACTTATTGAATTGTTTGTATAATTATTTAAACTTAGCAGAAGAGTGTTTTTAACTACCAGTATTAGGTCATTTTTTTTACTTGCATTCATTTTCTTGTGCTCTTTTGCTGTTTTGGATATATATTACTCAAGAATAAATCAGTCGAATGTGAACCTCTAAAGTGTGTTCTTTTTTTTCTTAGTTAAAGAAAATGTTTTTTTTTTACTCTCGATAGAATTGAAGAACAGGAAAAACTATTAAATTCAATAGTTTTCAAAAACGAATACATTTGTAAGATGCCTTTTTGTTAATTTAGATTACTGGTCTTTCTTTAATATTAAGCCATTTTTAAAAGAATTTGTTCGTATATATCTTTCTAGCGTATTAGGCAAATCTATCTAAGTTGCATTATTTGTAAACAAAAATTTTTATTGCGTCAAATGCCAAAATATACACATACATTTATGTTATTACATTTGAACATGCTTAAAGTATTTTTCGAAAAGAACATTAGACACTTACCTCGTACAATGCAAAGATAAACAGAACAACAAAACCACAAAGCACAACAATAAAATATCTTAACAGAAATTATAATTTGCAACAATGATTTGGTTATATGATCTGATATATATACACACATACACATATGTGTGAATATGTGTGAATAATAATACGCAGATGTTGTACTCGTATATATGTATGTATTTGTAAATAGTACATAAACAAATAACATTTTCGAACAGAGTTGAAGTTTTGAAAATTGCACTTGTATTAGTTTGGCATGCAAAATAGCTAACATCGGCACAGGCACGGGCTCGGGCACGGGCACGCACACACACACATCGAGGTACATGTAAATGTTGTTCGCATTTCCTTTACACAAATTGTTAGAAATTAACAATTTTTGTGTGTGCAAATGCAGAAAGTTTTGTGCCTTTCCAGTTAAAAAGTTTGCTTGCAATGGAAGATACTTGATACATTGTTATTTGTTGTTCTATTGCTGTTTTGAATTTCGTACTGTTGTTTTTTATTATCCTTGCAATTTGTTGCATACACTCATACACTGATACACTGATGCACTGAGACACTGACATACTTGCACACTGGTACGTGCTATATGTTTTTTGTTGCACTGTGCTTAGTTGTACTGTACGGAGAAAAGTTTAATTTTTGAATTTTTGAATTTTCTATTGCAATGCAGCAAATGCACATTGTAAATCTTCTGCGAAGGAAACAGCAGGGATGTGATAAAGCATCTAACAATATAATCAGTGCATAAAAGTTGAAAACGAAACTAGTAGTAGTTCCTTGCCAGAAAAGGTACATAATAATTGGGTAAATTGTATAATCAAAGAGTTTAAGTTGATGTTAAAGTTTGTGCACTGCAAGCAAAAAACATAAATTTGCTACAAGATATCAAAATTAAATAATAAACGCACTCCGGACATGCAGCAATTTGCATTTTGAACAGCAACAGCTTTGAATAAAAAAAAAAAAATCGTATCATAAGAAAGTACCAAACCAATTGAGATTCGTAATTTTATACAATTTAAAATGAATATAGTCAGGAATTATTGAATCATAAGAACCGTAAACGTTTTGCTTTGCTTTTAGAAATGATAGCAAATTAAATATGAACATTTTAGCAAAAAGTGAAAATTACAAGAATTTAAACCAAATGAGAATTTTAGTTTTTGCATTACACAAAATGAATTTGATTAAAAAAGAAGTTTCGAAAATGAAATCAGTTTTTAATAGTCATAATTTCAGATTATATACGCTAATATGAAAACAATACAAATTTTATAAAATTAATTTTTAATATTCATTGTTCCAGATCTTGGTACAACTTTGCTGCATTTATAAATGTTGTATATTCCCTAATAAAGTTTAAAATGTGGTTGCCATATTATTAATTTGATATATACATTAAAAGTTAATGTTCCAGTAAACTACTTTACGATACAATTTATTTATGAACTTCGTAAAGTAAACTTCGTTAAACTAAAATTTCATTTCTGGGTAAATACTCACCGACGTGTTGTATTGGCAACTTAATCATATCACGTATCACAGCATCCACAAAAGTGTCATTCTCACTATAAAGTTCCTTTTTGGAGATGCGCAACTGGAAACGTTCTAAATTGCTGGCATTTTTACTATAATGAAAAAAAAAATAAAATTTTAAAATGTTATATAATAGAAAATACAAAATCTTGTAAAATAATAAAACAAAATAATATAATTGAAGTGTGAAATATTAAATAAAAAAATATATAATAAAATTAAATTAAATAAAACAATTCCCTTGGGGAATTATGCAGATCTGAGGTCAATTATTGCTTAGTCTGATGAAGTGATAAACAATAAATAATAAATAAAATAAACAGTCAAGGCGTAAAGAGGGCTTTTAAAAATACCTCGAGTTAAGAAAGAGTAAAAGTGCTCAAGTGCACTGGCTTGAATAGCTTCAACATAATTAATTAAAATAAATTAATTAATTAAAATATAAAAATTACAAGAGCGTTTTATATACGTTTACTTTCGGAACCGCAATGGATAATCTTGTATGCTACTTGCTACTGCATGTATATAAGCTAGTTTTTTCATACATTTTTATAATTAAATTTGAATAGGAATAAAACTAAAAAAGAAAGTACTTTAAGTAACATTACTTTAAGTACGAACATAAAAATCTGGGTTATTGTATATAGCAGCACTTTTGATAAATATAGATATGCAATGTTATTCACATTTATTATATAACGAAACAAATATATTTTATAGGTGTAGCATATATATGGACTTTAATACATTTTACAATATAGTAGTGGATTGATCTACAGATGACATAGCAATAATAAGATTTATTAACAGAGCGAAAATAAGCGAAAGAAGAAAATAAAATTAAATATAATAAAATAAAGTAGAGTAAAAACAAAAGAATATTAGTAGAACTATCAGCTAACAGCACTTAAAACGACAAGCAGTAATAAATAAGGTAGCAAATGATAATTTCAAACCAATAAGCAGTGCAAACAATTGAGAAAGTTATTAAAAGTAGAAAGATAAAGTGTATGAAAATGAATTTATAGTAAAAAATTGACAGATATCTTAAGAATACTGTGAACAAAAAATGAAAAAATTGTATGTTTAAGTAGCAAAGTAGCTCAATATTTGGAATGACACGCACTCTCTCGGTCGCTCCACTCTGTAACTATAAACTTAACAACACCTCACAAACAGTCAAATACCAAATTTTGAAGATTAAAGTACTGCCGAATAGAAATATCTTGACCACTTAGTATACCAAAGATTGTTTACCAATGTTAGTATAGTATGGTATACCAAAGGTAGTATACAAAATAAGACTATTGTTGAAAGGACTTTAATATATGTACCGAGTGAGTAGATTTAGCATTGTACTAGTGAGGACAGCGATAAGTGCATTGTTGAGAATGCAATGTTGTTTAACGTAGTTACCTGCCTTGAAGGTTTAAGACCACAGTGTCTTAAAAGACAAACCCATTAAGATAATGCATCAACAAACGACTCTTTACAAATTCCAAGGAATTTTTACCGGCAGCCATTGAACTGATGTATTGGTAAAGAACGAGCCCTATCCAACTTCTGCTGATCTTTGGATCAGACCAACCGATGTGAATATGCAACTCCATGCCGCATGAAAGTATAATGCAATCATTCTTCCCATGTAAGTTTAGGTAATAACCACAGTTATTATGACAATGTCAATTATCAATTGGTTAGAAGAGAAGAAGAGCCTTTCCTCGGGAATATTCTAACCTCTTACCCGCAAGAGGAAACTGGATTGATCACAATGAGCTTTATAAAGTATTATTTTAAGAAGCTATCAACGGAACAAAATCTCCTAATAAATTTTATACTGTCATAAGTAACTTTAAATTTCTCTACTGAGTTGGATTTAACTTATATAAAATAATTTAATATAACAAAATATATTAAATTAAAAGAAAATAACTGAAGAAAAAAAATTAATTTATATAAATGAGCTCTTATATAGACGGGCATGTGAACTAAATTAGTTCGAACATTTATTTGAAAAGTAACTGCTAACGATAAGAGGGGACGGCAATTTTTTATTGGAAAGAAAAGTAACAAAATGCTGACAATTGATGTGTTGGAATACGTCAGACGAGCAACTTAAATGGCCAACAAATCGCTAGGAAAGTAATTTCATTTCTGGTTTACCTAATCGAGTTTCCTGTTTGATTTATCAAAGCGAAGGAGTTTCAAGCAAATTTTATTATGCACAATTTTTCATTTTATTTTTTATTTTGCTCCAGCATGCACTTTTCTTTCAAAATGCAGCAGGATGCCATTATGCAACTGTATAAGCGTTAAGAAGTATTACCACTTCCCTTCTTGCGCTTTCAACTAGCACATTTAGTTGTTAGTCCTGAACTGCACAATTTCTAAGAAGATTTTCCTCCTCAGTTTTTCCTTCGTTGAATTGTTGATGAGAATGTAGTATTGTTCGAGAACGGAAAATGTGTAAGTATGCCAACGCGAACGTCACTTTCCTGAAGATTTTTTTCCTTTTTTGGTTTCAGTTTTAAATATCTTTTTCTTGCTTTATTCTTATTTTATTGCTAATGTGCTTTTTAGTTTGATTGTTATTAAGGATTTGACATAGATAAGTTTTATGTTAGCAGTTTTTTCTTAAAACAAACGCACGTTCGAGCTATCGTGGCGTATGAGCAATGCAGAAGCTAATTTATAACAAATTTCTTTGTGTCATTATTTGATGTTGATTAGCTTTGACAATTAGTTGCTTTGAAAATGACAGATATTTTATCCACTGCAAATTAAGTAGAATTTTTTTTTTATAAAATATTTCTTAAGAACTTAATTATGCTGGTAAAAATTGAATAAAATTAAATTTTCATCGCAGAAGGATTATGAATTTTCAGAGATGATAAGGTCTTCTATTATAATGGTTACATATATAATTATATATGCATATAGAATTAATAACTATAAGTTGATAAGACACATTAAAATATAACTAACATAATTATCTCAAAGTTTAGAAGCACAAAAAAATTCAATTCCGAGAAATATGGAATATGTAAACTAAAAAGATGATGGATGCTTGATATACTACGCATTTTCATCTTAATTTTTTTGTTGCAGTCGGCGGAAAATATTTGTGGTAGTCTGCTATTTAAATGCATGGATCTCATTTTCCCCAGAAAGTTTGCCTATTTTGAAATCACAATTTTCGGAAGACGATAGCTGTTGTAATTAGAGTTAAAAAAGTTTCTGTCAAATTAATAAAACAAGCAAAGGTAGTCTATAAGCTACAATGTATACTACTGATAGGGAGCCACTTTCTGCGCTGTGACAGAGTAAATAGGAAGACAGATAAAGTTGACTGGTCTACCAGTTGCGATACCTGGTGGGAGTTTTTAACGCAGTTAAAAATGGTACACATTAGTTAAAATATGTCTATCTTTAACGAGTAATCGTTTACTCTAATATCAATAATGAAACTGTTAGTCGAATTTAGAGAGAATCAGATTTAAATAGAAAAAATGTTTTAGAGTGTTTAAAAAGCACATCCTGGCACTTCTTGATTTCATCACTATTGGTAATGTTTAACTTATACACATTTATATATATTCTATATATATATATATTCTTCTTCGAATATGTATTTGTACATAATCCTGGTGATTCTACATATAATTTAGCTACTTTAATTATTTAGAGTCTCTTTTTATATTTGTCTGATACATATCTTGCAAAAGATTAATAATCTTGCTGAATCTGTCACCCATAAGACTAGAGCTAGTGTTAGTAACATTTTCATTCTATTTCACTCTATAATTTTTCGGGCAAAAATGAATGAATGACATTTGTCTTTTACTTACTTACTCTTACTGTCTTACTTCGACCTTCAATTATAACTGTATTCTTCAAAAAGTGCTTCTAATCGATCAGCACTTGTTCATCATGGCCTGGTCGGTGTGAAGACTATATTTGATATCATCATTTCGTCAGTGTGAATCGTTTCTTCAGTGAGAAGACTATATTTGACAGGGAAAAGCAGTATTGGTGAGTTCATAAGTTCATTTCTATTTGTAGAGAAGCCTCTTTATTGACTTCCTGCATAAAAGAATATAGTTTAATTAGTCATTGAGAGAATGGCTTTTCATATATCGGTCCAAAGACAGCTATGTAGTATTTTTGTATACAACAATGGGTTTTTAAGAAGAAATTGGTACTGATCATCAAAAAACTTCAAATATTTTGATGATCCAGTAAGTTATGAGCTGAATAATTCTAATTTGAATGGTTTGAGTTTTACATTTCTCTTTCTGCAGCTTGTTTTATAGCATAGATGTCGTTTTTATTGACATGACTCAAACAAATGTAAAATCAGAATCATAGAGTGGGAAGTTCAAAATTTTTAAAATATTCAGTTTTATAGTAGAAATGTAAAAAATTTTTATTAGTACTAAACATTGATTGAGGTAACATGTAACTGAAGTAAGTAAAGTATAACACTAAGGAAACTAAGCGATATGGGCTGCTTTATTATCTTCAAACTGGTTATATATAATGCACAAGCTTTATGTTACCAGTCAACGATTAATAGAAGCTATTCAATCATATATAAACTACGAAGAGAAATGTTTTAGGCTTTATAAACTTGAAGAAGCTATCTTATCGAACTTCACAATAGAATATCATTAATTTAAAATACTTTATTGGTATTTATTTAGCTTTTAAGTTTAACAAAGTATGCAAATATTATACCTTATGCTCAAAAAGTATTCGGATATTGTTGTTTGTTAGGAGTAGTTATCCTAAGTAATAGACATTTTTCAAAAAATTTTTGTTATATTGGTACACCCTTTCTTGACATATCGTACAAATTTGAGCGCCATCTATCAATTAGTTTGTTTACAGTAGCTGTTAATGTGAGACTACCTCAAGTGCATTTAACGATTTTTACTATGGAAAATTCTTGTTGTACGCAATTTTTTGACCAAACACGGCACCATTGTCATCGCTCAGGCACCATATGCGCCAGATCTGGATCCGTACGACTTTTTACTGTTCCCGAAACTCAAATTGCTCCTTCGTGGTAAGCATTTTGAGTCGATTGAAT